CGCACGTGGGAATACGGGTATTCTCGTATTTGTTGACAGATTCAGCAAAATGGTACACCTTGTGGCTGTACCAGAGACAATCACGGCAAGTGGCTGTGCTTGTGTCTTTATTGACACCATCTTCCGACTTCATGGGTTGCCCCGTGAACTCGTGTCAGACAGAGATCCACGATTCACTGCTGATTTCTGGCGCTCTGTGTTCAAATCACTCGGAACACGCTTGAAGATGTCGACATCTGATCATCCAGAGTCAGATGGTCAGACGGAACGTGCCAATCGTGTCCTCGAAGAGATACTTCGAGGATACGTACTCCCCTTTAAGAGTTGGAGTGAGTTTTTGCCGATGGTAGAGTTTGCCATCAACAACTCGGTGCATGCGTCCACGACAAATACACCGTTTTACGTGAATGGCTTACGCCATCCGCGTGTACCCACCTTACTAAAGTGTAACTCTGGTTTAACGAGGGGGGGGCCTCGCGCGAGCAAAAACCGATTTGGTTCACGCTCATCACGCTCTGACGAAGAGGTCATTGCGTTTGATGCCGATATCGATAACATCGATATCGAAGAAGATGATGCCAGTGAGAGTGCGGAAGCCCTCACTGAAGAAAAGGTTGATGCTGCTGCAGGGCACTCACAGCGCACTGAAGCTAACGAGTCATCAGATGAGTTCATACTGGCTCGTGAAACGGTAGTCCGTTTTGTGCAAGACTCCATCGCCGAAGCGGTGGATAAGCAAAAGCAAAACGCTGACAAGAATGGAAGGGCAAACACTCTTTTATTTAATAAGGGTGACTCAGTCCTACTGTCTACGGTTAATCTACCAAAGCATGTAGTGACTAAATTGGGTAGCAGTAAACTACTACCCAAGTACACATCGGCCCATTTCGTGTATTGCACCGCCTAGGCAATGCATACACGATCGAGTTACCACGTAAGATGCGAACGCATCCCACGTTTTACGTTGGTCGGCTTAAGCCGTACCATCAGTACGCTGCTTATTCTGATGAAGAACGCCCTTTCGCTCAAGCATCTCGCAGAGAGCCTTGTGCTCCCGATGGTGGGCATCGACATGGGTCTGAAGAGCAGTTATCTCAGCCCGAGACCGATCAACAATCCCACGAGCTACCCTTAGCTCGTCACGAAGAGATGTCAGAGATTTCTCGTTCTCAAGCTGAGCAAAGGCAAACTCAGCTCGATGCTTCGAGGCAGTGTCCGCCATTTGGAGACGCCTGTCCCGCTCATGTTCGAGATCGTCGCGTAACCCTTGCGTTACGCGATCAAAGAAGCTCTCGGGAACACACCGATCCACATGATCGTGTGGAGAGCGTCTTTCCTCCTCCTCCACCTCCATTAGAGGACTCTCGCGGTGGCCAGCGCTATCTAGTTGAGCAGCTGTTGAACCACCGCGACGTGAACGGACGTCGGACGAGTTATCTCGTCCGGTGGCGCGGCTATCCCCCGTCCTGGGATTCTTGGGAGCCCCGCTCCCAACTGATGATCGACGTACTGGGTCTGGTTGAGCAGTACGACGCGGCACATCCTGTGCAGCAGAAGGACCGCCGGAGAAAGTCTTCCCGGCACGGTCGTAAAGGGATTTCAGGTTGTCAATCCCTTCGTACATCTCAGTAGAGATACGTACGCGCCACCAAGGGCTAGTAAGGAGGTAAGCCTCCTTAGGTGCTCGTGCAGAGTTGTTCACACAACATGGGCACGAGTCTCCCCATGAGAGGCAGGGTAATCCTTTCTCCCTTGACAGACGATGCAGCTTGTAGCGTGCACCTTTCGGGGTTCGCTTTTCAAACTTATCACGAGCTTTGATAAGTTTGTCGTTCCAAGCGTCACGACCTACATCCTCGAGGTTATGGATGTAGGCGTTCCACGATTGAAGTGGTGAGGGACCATCACGTTTGTGATTCCCACTGTACCATCGATGTCTAAAGAAAGCATCGATGAAGAATTCGTTTTCAGCGCGATAGTTTTTCGCGCTGGGGTCAAGGTGATGTATCCTTGACGAATCGAACAACCGTGTTCGATAACGATCACTCGTCGTCGCCGACAAGTGATCCATGACGGATTTTGGAGGCATCCATGCCTTCTTTTCTGGAGCGAGACGCAAGACATTGCGGTCCCGCTCTTCTTGCGACGTGCCGACAGAAGTACTGGCACCTCGTTGCGAAGTGGTGTCCATAGGAGAACCGACACCACTGTTAGCGCCCGAGTCTCGCGACCTCGAGCGTCTACGCTTTGGCGATGGTTCATCTGATTCATCAGATGAACCAAAGATGCTGCGACGCAAAGCATCATCCATGCCACGCTTGGCAGGCGGCTTGGATTCGATCGCCGTCGATACGGATCCGTCTTCCGTATCAGGAGAGTACGAGACACCGAGCTCGTACTCTGTGAAGACATGAGTGTCTTTATGACGAGCGCCTGCATCACCAAGTGACACAGGCTGGGTCGCTTCAGCAACCGATGAGACATCAGTTGCTGCTGTTTCTGCTTCGGCGTCCGCACAGAGACGTGCGGACGCGCTCTCGGCGGCCTTGCTCGCGCATCGCATGGGCTTGTTAACCATGCGATGATATGTTGGAAAGTGGACTCGGACCAACAAGTGCAAACCCTGTCCCAAATGAGTTGGGACGAGTATCCTTTTAGTCAAACAGTCACTAAAGTGACTGATGGTAAGGGGGGGTGATGTAACGGGGTGAATCGTTACATAACAATTTATAAGAAATTGTTAATAGAATATAACTATAAGAGTTATATTCTCAGAATATTGTCATAAGGACAGATATTCTGCAGCACTTACGAGTAGTTCCTAATTGGTTGATATAGGCCATTATATCAACCAACGAAGACGCACCGCGACAGACGCACGCAATGAGTGGTGAGCAGATAATTGATTTACACATTTGTATTTAGACATAGTTAGATGAAGATAAATAGTGGTTTTATCAACAGACATTAACTATTATAAATACAGTTCTACTTTTTACTTTAACCAAGTACTCGCTTCTTCTTACCTTCTTCCTCTGCACGTACGAGTGTACGTGAAGTTACGAGGCACCGCCTTATTCTTTCATCAGAATAAGTAGCTTGTACTGTCACCAGTACAAGCTTCAGGGTGCCCCGTTACATAACCTATCATAAATTAAAACTCTAAAGTCAAGACCAGTGCATTCTTCACTTCCATCAGTAATAGTGTTGCCTTTCGAATACAATGTACCACAGCATCCTTCATGCAATATTTATTTATCAAGTCGACGTCTCAATCTCTTTATAGGTAAACACACTTTGCTTGACACGGTGACAAAAGGGCTAAGCACGGCAGGCTAATTTGATTAGCAGATTTGTATTAGGTAAGATGCTGAAGTAGTTAGATCGATCTGTAAGAATTTGACAATGGGTGGTGCAATCCATGTCGAACGTTTTGCTATTACTTCACGCAGTGCGCTTCTTGTTGTTCATTACTCAAGTGCTTCAAAATTTATGAAGCCGGATAAATTAGCATACCTGGACTAAGAATTAGCTCATTTACACCGTAGCTGTTCAGCAGCGTCCGAGAAGCAAGTTGAAATTGGCTGCGGCAATTATAAAAAAATCCGCATCGTCGGGAAATTATCGTTAAAAGGGGGGCCTTATGAAATCACGAGTTCTCGAACTCGATTACCCCGCAACTTCACCATAAATTGCCACTAGTCATGTTAATGACGTAGCCTTATCTAGAATAGACAAGGAACTGGGAGTTATATCACTCATCGAGAAACACTGTCTAAGACCAGTATTTCGGTAAAGCTGAAGCTGTGCTGGTTTACAAAGTAAAGTGCTTCGTTAGGCTTTAAAACTGACTCATAGCACGTTCGAGACGGTGCATGCTTGTCTTTAAGAAATGAATCGTGAGCAGACTTAAGTAGACGGGCAGCATGCATGTTTGATAGTGACAAGGTTAAACGAATAAAAGACGACATCATCAGCGCAAGAGCCTCCAAATTACTTTTATTCTGGTTCCGTTATGAAATAAACAGGCTGAGATAATAAATAGTTATGAAATTGTGGGCACACTATTTCTATTTTGCTAGACAAGGCGCGTCTTAGCAGTTTTTGCTGAAGGCCAAGTCCTCCGGCATAAAAACTTCGTAAATGCATTAAACAAGCAAATGGTGCGACGGTGTGATCGAAGTACTCAAAAGTTGATTTCGCTTCGTGACACTATCGAACTTATAAGATATCAGGCAAGAAGTCCCTGTTGACAATGTTTTACATGTTATTAGCGATGCAATGTCAGAAAATTACCTCATTTTTAATTAGCCTCATTGCCAAAAATCTCTTAATTTCTTCAAAGTCTAATAATTTGTCATACAAATAAGAAATATTTGATTGCGCTAATACAGATAACTTGCCGTCATCGGCCCTTGCATACCTGGGACAAAAACCGAAGTGAGACTTGACACCCGGTAGTTTTTATTAGTTGTCACCAAATCCATCATTTCTTATTCTCACTATTCGCACTAATGTCTTTATATATGTGTATGCAATTCTTTGAATTTCTGATACACCCTACAAAAATTGCACTTTCCTATGTTCATCTTTGGACGCCCTCATATTTCGATGTGGTATTTTTGGAATGGGCGAAAATTGCTAGGGCTAATTCAAGGCCAGGTTCAAAAACATTCACTTGGTTTGCAGCCATAGGCAGAGTGCGTGGATATTCACAACGTACAGGTGTTCTACGTAATATCACTGGTAGTCTGCAATCTCTCTGCTAACAGCATCCGATTCGTGCACAAATGCTCTCGATGAGGCGAATTATAAGTCTAAGATCCCGGTTAGTAATTGTTTGAAAATGAAGTGAGGTTACGGTACGAGATGAATAAAATGACGGGGATGTGCGGGAAGCCTATATACGTCCGCACTTCCTATTAAACACAAAAGCGTAGCAGGGGCACGTAAGACCTTCATTTCAAGACTCTCCCGCTCTCGCCCCAAGAGGTTACAAAATGCAAGAATTTGATCTCATTGGCAATCGCTACCCCATCGGGCAGCATGCCGCCCGCCTGCCGGGTGAGAAAACAAACGTAAGGAAGTCCCGGAGGGAGGCGGCGGTCGAGCAGGCACGTGGAGACACTGTCGAAGCCAAACGGTGCGCAGAGGAAGCGGGAGGCGCACTCGTGGCCTCTGCAGAGCCGGTAGAGACGTGGCCATCATGGGCCGAGGAGTCTTGGGCGTTGTCTTAAATTTTTTGTTGAATAGCTGCGACCCCAATACTGAAATCAAGTATATTGCCGAAGGTACGTTCGCTGGTACCAACGGGGGGTCGCCGGGCCTCTTCCTGGTCTATGATTGCACCCAAAATCGGGGCCGGAGACCGGGGGGCCGCGCGCGCGACAGATTCCTCTACGCGAGCGAAAACTAGGCAGACACTGGGCGATGCGGATTCCGAACCCGTGCCCGAAGTTGCGGCGCCTAACTCCGCGTCACCGCCGCGAGACGATGCGTGCGTAGACGCGATCGGGAACCATTTTAGGGCCCCATAAGGGAATTATTGGAGGTACGAGTGTGTACCCTCAACACTAGTCCGACGGAGACTGTTCCCAGGCAGTTTCGTCCCACCCGTTCTCCAAAGAAGTGTGACAAACCTTCTGGGAACATTGTCAAATCAGACTGCTCCGCCTCTTCGCCAGTGACCAGTCGCGTGTCACTTGGGAGAGGGGGAATTTCGCCTGATTCCACGCCAGTATCGTCATCAGCCGACGCGTCATAGAAAGATGCATCGCTGGCGAGACTGGAATGGCTATCCGTGGAGCACTCACTATCGCTTGATCGAGAGCGCTCCCAAGGCTGCAAATCCGGCCACCAGAAGCGCGGTTGGTATGTCAGGTCTGTGCCACATATATACAAAGGGCGATCTGTAGAGGCGACGCGTGGCATCTGATTTTCCGAGTTATAGGGTCAAGGTGTGAGGGTCTGATTGGCTAACATTAAACAGAATTCAATTTGCTTCTAAAAACATTGTGTCGATCTTCTCCCGGGTTGAATATGTAGGCCGTCCGACGTCTGAGAATCGCGACATCAAGTATAGACCGATCACTCCTGGAGCTATTTGGACAGGAGTGCTAGGACTCTCAACACACCCCTACTACGATCGGACGCAGCCAAACGTATCGGTTAAATTACAAGATCGCGAGATGGCTCAAGTGGCCAGAAAGGCTCGCGACTCAAGTATACATTTTGGCACAAGGTGATCAGGGCAGATCACGGCGACTCTAGGAGAGCACCAACCCAGAACACGCGATCGGGTGAGGACTTCCACCCGATTAGCACCAATCTCTTCAACGGTCAAGATTAGCATCTCGTCGAGTCCACCTAGAAGAGTGCAACCCGCCCTGCCGACGGGTACACGAGGTGAGGAGACAACAAGTGCAAGCGTAATCGGAGGAACGGATGCGGGGAACACAACTTCCTCGCAGCCATGCTCGTTGAACAAGCCGGGCGCAAGCACCAAGAGTTGCATGTCATGTGGCACGACTTTGCCAACGCTTTTGGTAGCGTGCCACACGACTTGCTATGGGAAGCGCTGAAATAGCAGGTTGTTCCGCCCGAGTTTGTCGCTTGTTGCCGTGGTCTCTACGCAGACGCAGCGTCTACAATCGGTAACGCTGTCGTTGGGACCACGGCGCCAATTGCGTTGAGAGTGGGGGTATTTCAAGGCTGCCCACTCATCCCCCACCTCTTTACTGCCGCGGTCGCCCCGCTGCTTCACGCACTCCTTTCGCTGCCCGACACTGGTGTGAAGCTGTAAAGCGAAGACCGTTTCGGTGCTGCTGCTTACGCAGACGACTTGAAGACATTATACGAGTACGCAGATCTGTTCGATCTTGTCACTACGCAGATCTCTCAAGAATCTTCTAAATTCCAGCGTTGGCAACTTGACCGCCTCCGAAGATGACTGCGGGGGCGTACCCAGATCAGGTGTATAAGCGCCTACACTTGATCCGTCATTCACCAAGACATTCGCTGACTCGGTGATTTTCTAGAAAAACACATCCGCAGGCGGTTGTGGATCCACACCATCAACATAACTCTCTCGGGAGTTATCACTCTCAGGAACGCTGAATTTTTCTTCCATTACGTGTACTATCACGGTCACGTCCTTTTCGATCGACTCTCTTCCAGTCGATCGGGCTTGCTCTACGATCGACTCTCTTTCAGTCGATCAGGCTTGCTCTACTACCGATTCTCTGATAGTCGATCTTGCTTCAATGTGTTGTTCATCCTGAACAACACTACTTTCTCTTCTCGGATGCACCCTTCTTGGTGCGCATCCGTGTTCCAGTCCACTCGATCTCTTCGAGTGGTGAACCTTCGGCGCGGCCTGTGTCTCTACACAGGTGCCGGAAGCTGGTTCCACAGTGCAGTGGCCTTCTGCACTGTGATCTTGTGCAATCGTACTAACGACCGTACCCCAAGTGAGGCCAGCGCACTCACGCTTAGTACATCCACACGCTTGTGGACGCTCCAAGACTTTCATCAGATGGCCATCCGATGAAAAAACGACAGGCATGTTCACGGATCGATGCTGCCAGCTAACCCATGGCTGGTACTTTCTAAGCCATGACAGACCAAGGATGACATCAAATTTGTCATCCAAATCAAGTTCGATGAATTCATCATCGTACTGCTTTCCTTCTAGCGTGTAGTGGATTCCCACTACACGTTTGTTCACTGTTACGGATGCGCCTGTTGCAAGTCACACCGTCATCCTCGTTGGAGGTGTCTCTCGCTCAACATGGTTGAATCTATTATCTTAGCGACTGGCGTCGCATAAAACTGCTCGACGCGCCACAGTCGACTAGGGCGCGAAGTGACATTCCACTTGTCACTTCGATCCTCAAAGTCATGAGGGACTCCTCATCGCTAGGGGCAGTAACACACAGAGACTGCGTGCTGGGAGCAATCTTCGTCAAGCATCCTGCAAATTCTCTTGACGTTGCTGGATCAGCAGGGTGCTCCGCACCTATTGACCCTGACCTTTTTTGACGGTCCGACATGCTGTCGCGGCTTAGCGACATGGTCGGACCCACGCCTTAGACCTTTACTTGGCCAACGGTGGTCATCACGTCCTGTCTTTGGACGTTTTGCAGTGCTCGGGACACTACACTAATGAAAGTAATGTCAAATCTTTTGGCATCGATGACATCTTGCCGTTCTCTTGTGACTCAGAGAGCAAGAGTTCTCGCTCTCGACATTACAGGTGTCCATTGGTTCGGGACCGCCTGTTTCCTGTCCTCTCGTCGGACGATAGTTTGACGAGTTAGTCTGATACTGTCTCAGGCTGAAGTCTTCTTGTTTCTTAAACGCTATCGCCTTTCCAGCGTATGAAAGTCCTCTCGGAACATGTAGGTCTTCACCGGCCCATCCACAAGGCCGTAAACGAACACGTTGATGAGCGTGTGCTCATCAACAGGATTTTTCGTAACTCTACCCGCAAGGTAGCGCAGGTGCTGTGCGTATGCTTGCACGTCACGATCACCTTGCTTTAGCCTCAAGAGTGCAGAGCGTGGTCTGAACTCGTCTCTCGGCGGCTCAGACGTCTCTATAAGCCGATACTTCAAGATCTCCAACGACTCAAACATGTTTGGGTCGTGAAGCTTGAGCCCTAAGGTCCAAGTCTTTGCTCGTCCCGTCAAATTTAACAGGGCGAAGGTAACTTGCATCTTGTCACCCTCGATGTGAAGGGCCCTTATGGCATCGTCTAACTCGACGAACCATCTTAAAAGGGAATCTTCATTGGTTCCCTTGTACCTTGAGATATCTATCTTCAAGTTTTCGTGTCGACACGTGTGCGTCGGCCCGCTCATCGACTGATGAGAGCCTTGCTGCTGTAGCAAGGCTACCTTCTGTCTTTCGACGGCAAGATTCCCTTGTAGGAACTTGTTGATAGCAGCATGTTGATGGTACCTGTTTAGAGACTCCAACATACCACTGAAGGTGGGTTCGCCCATGAGCACACTCATGCGGCCGACTCCTTCCAATTCTGAATCACACAGATGGGAGTAGCCTTCACGTGTGACGTGAAAGCTATCGTCTTCTACGTCCAACATGTTCAAGTTGGACGGACACTAGGTAGTCGTTGGACGGACCACGATGTGCTACCAGGTGCAACGGGGCACCCTTTGTTAAGGTGCCACGAAACTTCACGTGCACTAGTACGTGCGGAGGAAGCTTATCTACTTAAACGACTCGTTTAAGTAAAAATAAAAAGAGAACTGTATTTTAAATAGTTGAGCTATCAAAATAACTTTAATCTTTATTTAACTATATTAGACTACGTCGTCGTATGACGACAACCTGCTCACCACTCGCGCGTCTAGCAGCGATTGGTGGCAATCTATGGTTGATATGTCTTATATCAACCAATCTTGGAGCAGCGCATGAATGCTATTTAAAGGGGATAATATTCCTTCAATATTATCCATCTTAAATAATAGTGGTAGAATTTTGTCATGCTAGACGATATTCCAATTGACACTGTTTGGTGTCAACTTCGTGCAAAGGGCTACCCCGTTACAAAGGGTGCCCCGTTACATCACCCATCAATATTTATTATGATTCTATTTACACCTTGCAAGTAAGGCGTTGCGCTTTTCGAATTCGATAAATTAAGTCCGAGTGCTAATCACGCTCAACCATTTCTTTTAATCACACTTATGACCGTATTTTGCGGAAATCTAAGACTACTTTTAAGCTCCTTTCTTCATTGCTAACTACAATAGAAACGTTTGAGCCACTGCCCGAAGTTGTTTAAGTTTTTTTTAAATAATTAAGCACAGCAATTTAAGCTTATGATCAATAATAAGGCTATATCTTTGTTTCCAAAAGCATGTAGCGATTAGGCAATACCTCCTTAATTCTTAAGCATTTCGACTTCCGAGCGGTAGTCCCTTTGATGAATTTCCTCGCTACCACAACGGCGTTTGGAATTGGTTTGGACGACAACAGCCCTTGGTCTTCCCTTAACGTGACAGAGACATGCACACCAATTTGCTAAAGTTAGCCTTGTTCTGTTCAGCATGTAAATGCGCCTTGAGAAGGTGACTTTTTAAATTAGATTCAAAATGTCCTAGTATGTCACAATGAACTCAAGCAGATAGTCGGACGGCGAAGTGGTTGGGAAAGTATATTTCGAATTTCCAGAATTCTTCGTCTTCGTGGCAGCAAAAATGTACCTGATTAACAGATGCAGACCGTGGGATGTGCAACCCTGGAAAAAAGTGGACGGGTGAGCCTCTTCAAAAATCCTTCACGCACTTAATTGATCGATGTGTTGTTGGTGACGGCACCAAAGAACCTAATGTTGGCTTCTTTCACCATTACGTACTTAATGTCGGACGCAATTCAATCAGCATTGTGGCCCTATTCTCCAGTCGACACTAACTCGAGAAATAGCGGTGCTAGAGACGTCGTTGCCGTTCTCATACAATAGGCGCTGTTGACGTTGCACCAAGTATTCGAAGTCAGGCAAAAGGTAGCATTCACACGGGTTCGCGTTTGTCTTCTATTTCAGGTTCAATTATGCTTTATCCAGAACGATCTGGAGGGATTCTTCCTAGCTGGTATAAATCTGTCGGGAAGAAGCACTTTCAGTGCCTTTGTCGGATTATCTCCTCGATGCTCGGAATTGATGTGCCCGTAGCTAAATGATGCATGCTTTTGTCTTTTACGAATTTGATTCGTAGCACGCGTTTAATTTGGAAATAAGGTATCCTGTGATCAATCCTTAATTTTGCGAATACATGATACTTTTGGCGACAGTTTTTATTGGATAACTTCCCTTCCTGTTCAAAGAGTACCACCCGAAGATATCATCGATCTCAACATCATTTGTAAAGTTGCGCAATTCGGAACAGAAAGCGTGTTGTCGCCTGCTATCCTTTTACGGTGATTAAATTGGACTCGGTAATGTTTGCAAATGGTGTTCTTTAGTTTGTGCGGCGCCAGACCATTTAAAAAGTGGTCCCATGTGTTGCTGACCTTGCGCTTTCTATCTGCTACTTTCCCTTACGGTCATTGCCCACATCTATGAAATCCTCAGCAAGGTAAAAATGATCTTGCCCGAAATCAGCGCCCTCGTTTTTGACTGCAATGGATGGACATCCTTCATAATATCTTGGGCTCAAAGCACTTCTTCCGACTTTTATCAGTAGTTTTAGACATCGTTAAAAGAATGACTGGATAAAGTTGTGCAACAAAGCGCTGTGTTGCTTTTGTAACCCCTTTTGATTATTTGAGGCAGTTCGGAATTCCTGCCACCACATGTGACGGACTTATAGAGGCCTGGGCGACTTAAGTCCAAAAAACCTAATTGAACCTCGATAGTCCCCATACTGGGAGTAGAGGTTTGATGATTACTCCTTAAAACCCTACTTAAACAAGATATTACGGTGCCAGAATTGTGCAAGAAACTATGTGTTACACACGTTCCAAGCGCACCTGTAGTCCCCAGTGCACGCACTGCATCTTAGAACGGTAGCTAGCGTGTTCACCGAGACTTTAGCCAGCGATACGACGGTACTCTATCCTGTCCATGTCATTGTGATGCCGCTGTCCCCTCGGCACTTAGTAAAATCCTTTTTATTTTTTAGGTAATTGAACGGCATTTCAACTACTACATGCAATAATGCTTCGACGAGAGCTTCAACGAGGTCTTCAACCAATGGTAATGTTTTTTAAGCACCTCTTAAAATTCTTGTTAGGCCATCTCCACGGCACTACTAAATATTATTCGTAAATTGGAGTGCTACTCCGAGTGGACTACGTGATTAAAGTACTCATTTCATAAAATTCCACACCCGGGGTGCCCCACTTCAGAACTGACATCGCCGCTATACTTGTTTATACGCTTGCCGCCCGTATAAAACGCATTTTGGTGAGTTTTGCAAAACTTACAATTGTCAAAAGGTCAGGCATTTAGAGTTCAAACATTGAGTACGTGCATGGAGTAGGTTTAGTTTGGTGGCATCTTAGAGAGTAGAGAATTGAAGACAGATTTTTGACCACTGCAAATTTGGAGTGAAGGGCCGAAAATATGGAGTATTCTAAAAACGAAATGTTAAAAAGTGGATCGACGGGGACGCAGACACATCAAATTCGCTTTAAAGTAGAGATATAGCACAGAATAAAATATCCCGGTGGAGATGCTCTTTTCTACACATTTAACCACTATTTTGTTAAGGCGTTCACCCATTAACCACCACGATAATGGCAGCTCAAGATATAGGCGGTCAATACCACCTCTCTGTGTTCGCATTTGATGTCCTCGACACTACCTCCGTACAATTGTCGCCCACCGAGCCCGAGGTTCCACCAAACCCAATGTTGCGGCTGGACAAACTCGGCTTTGGCGTTCTGTGGTCTTCTTCGTGGTAACACCTGCAGTGTGTGTGTAACTCAAACGAATTCGATCATGGTGTGAAGTTGGTCTTGGGTAGATATACTAATATTCGGCATTGTCATCGTTACAGAGTTTTTCCTGCCGTTTTCATCTCTCACGTTCGAGTGATCGGTGTTTACTAAGCTTACAAATAAGGTGCACGTAGATTTCAACGTGCACGCACAGCGAAACAGTGATAAAATTCGATAGAAAGCGAGCACGGCCTGACGAAGAATAAAGCTGGCTGGTCTCACACGCTCTTTTCGGTGCCGCATATCTGTATTTATATTAAGGTGACGCAGCAGGCTTGTAGACAACCAATACCTCTTGGTTCAAGTATTACTACCGAGGTTTAACAGCGATACAAGCTCTAGCATGCCCATGCTTGTGACGAAAATATGCGAGTACAACCCGAACAGACAACATAAACAAAGCAATGTATACATGAGCTATTAAAGAGGTAGTTATAGTCAATTTCGCATCAATCCCTAGTCACTTTGAACAGTGTTGTCGTTGTTAAAGTCAGCACAATTGTAAAATCTTTCCCCTCACAAATGCACATAAGCACGCACGCTGAAAGCACAGAGGCGTCGGTGCATCTGGACTATTATGCTGGATAATATCGCTCTGATGTCAATAAATGAACCCAAGATCACACCGTCAGCAGCCACCTATACTGCGTTCTTCTACGATCGCGAAAAAAAAGATTTAGTCGTTTAGAATGTAGCATTTGTAATTAAGGTTGTTTGTGCACTACAGCCGGGCTGACACTACGGCAAAAATTTTAAGAAGCTCGCTGACATGAGCGTGGATCCAGAAAGACCGAGGTCTATTCTTGAAACTGATCAAGCGCGCTGCAGGTAGCAAGACTACTTTTTCGCTCAACCACCTGTAAAATATCAAAGTACCTCCTATACGGACATTAGATCATTGGTTTTGAAGATCGTATGCAGGAGACTCAGCGTTTTCGAGCTCTTGTTATGGAAAAGTATAGCAAGATCCTCCAAAGCACCGTGCAGTGAGTACCCAGTGCATCCACGGTAAGTGTCCAGCCAAGGCGCTGAATTACTAGGCATCTGGATTCACGAGAACTCGAGCGTCTCTCTACTTCGTATAGAGCGTCTATAAACCCGACTATAATTTGTTGGTCATTTTTTGGTCGGCAGGCATTTAAAAATTGTCGTTGCAGTTGAGTTTCTGGTG